ACTCTCTGCTACCAACACCTCCATAGCCCCATTACTATTCAACGCAGCATGGTTCCACACAAACTGATTATGCCAATGTTCAGCAAGGCCCACTGATTGCTAGGGGAGGAAAGGCAGCAGACTGGGTCAGCCTGAGTCTGGACCTGCTGCACTCTGCCAGGGAAGTCTGCAGCCGAGATGGGGGGGAATTTTTTGAATTATTTTCAATCTAAGTTATGTTCTTGTGTTGAGCACAAATCAGGAAAGCGTGACACTTCCTGTTTTTTAAACTTTTTTATCTGGTTATGAAATGACTGATGGTGGGAAATCTCCAGAGCATACATGCTTTAAAAAAACATTCATGAATCATGTACAAGAAGTATTTCAACTGAGCAGCAATGACAGAAAACGTGAGATTGAGTAGTAACTTGCAGTTACTTCAAAGCAACAAATAGATATTCATTCTCCTCCTCAATATTCAATTACACTTCTTCTTCTGTATCTAGGAAGCTGAAAAATAGATACTACTACTTAAAGAGAAGAAGTAGTAAATTAGCTCAAAATCAGTGGCAGTGCCATTTAGTGCGATCATCATGCAAAGCTGCCAACTTAAAACCAACATTTAGATGTAATTTTAAGTTCATTGTCACACTGTAGAAACTACAGAGAAAAGGGGTGAAAAGGAAATACAAGGCATCTGGAAGGGTAATAAGTATGGGTGCCATTTGATGCAGAAACAGAGAGCAAAGGTTGGACATGAGAGGATACAGATGGCTTTAGAAGGAGTTGCTGTGATTTATAAGACAGGAAGTGGCAGATGAGTGAGGATACAGCCCAGCAGGGCAGCAACAACAGCAGCATCAGGCTGGCAACAACAACAGGCCCCATTACTGATGTTTAAATAATAGATGGGGAAAGAGAGAGGGTGACGGAAAAGAAGAGATGAACATGTAGTAGAGGATTGAAGACTCCCTTACTAAAAACAGATGAGAAAGGAAGGAAAGAGGAAGACAGCAGGAAGTCCACGCTAAAAACAGAAGGGAGAAAGAGACAAAGATAAAGAAAGAACAAGTGAGAGAAAACATGGGAGAGGCACAAAAGAACAGAGGCTCTGAAAGCTCGGCAGAGAACAGGTCCCATGTTGGCAGCGGGGAGGGTCAGAGAGTTCGGCAGTGAGAACATTTTGACAAGTCTTCCAGCAGCGGGAGGATGTAGACTGAGGTTGTGTTCCACCGGGATGAGCAGGATGTGATTTAAAGGGACGGTTCACCCATAAACACAACACAATAAAACAATAAAATTGTAAGCAAGATGTTGAAAGCCTCTTAAAGACAGCAACTGACTGCTGACTCTTAAGGGGAGACCATTCTAGCCCTGGCCGACCTCCCTTTCAAAGTTCTGTGTTGTTTATTGCAGATGTAAATAAATCTAGGCCTCATAACTGCTCAGTGCGTCAGAAAAAGGCCCTGCTGGCACCACAGAGCAGCTCCACTGGCCTACATTTTGCTGTTTGTCATCTGATGCCAAATTTCCAGCCACACAGTCAATATTTCAATAACTATCCTCTGACGTTAGAAATTAGAGCGAGTATGACATGCTATATGGTAAGAGCTGAAGTTTAGAACGCTGGTAACGAACAAAAATGCCTAAATAGCAAAAATAAACTGTTTGCTTTCCATAGCAGTTCAGCCTAGAGGGTTATTACCAAGTCTGTAGTAAACAAGGCTGTAGAAAAGACTGTAAAAGCCTGTTGGCAGCTGCAGATTCCCTGCAGAGAAGTAAAACTAAGTGATTCATATGAATCAAACAATGGCCTGCTCACTACTTTCTTGTCATCTGATCTCTTAGATCTCCAGTAGTAAGTGGACTGGTTCAGTTATTTTATTTTATTTTTTTAACCAAAATTGCATTTGGGCTTAAGCATAAGCCTTCGACCGGTGGGGAATGCATTAAATGCAAAGCAGCCATTCCCTGCACTGATGGTGTATGGGCTGGTGAATTATTCAAAATGAATCCAAGATCACTGTAGTCAAGAATATTACCTATCCTAGCCAGCGCAGGACAGCCAAAACTATCAAAATAGTCCAACTTCTGGAGAAAATAATTGGCTGCCATTCTGTGAAGGCAGTCAGTGATAAAACTGTGAAAACCTCTTGTGGAATAAAAATCACTGCTTCAGAGGCTTTCTCTTACTCATAAATGTATTTTTTCTGTCTCTTTCTTTCTTTTCCCTCTTTTTTTCTCTCTTTCTCCTCCCTCAAATTTCAAATCACACTCCAGCATGGCTCTCTTCCTTTTCTTCATCACTCCTTCCTTGAGATCCCAGAATGAATTCACAAAACCTTTTCAGGGAATTAAAATCCCTTTACAGACCACCCTCACACTCTTTCTTCTCCTCCCTTCAACACGACTGCAGTGTTTTTTGATTGCTACTGTATCTCCAGACAGAGCACACGTTAGCCTAATGGGAGGAAAAGGGAAACTTAATTAACCTTTGCGAAAGGTGGGCTCATCACAGACGCCGACCAATTAACTATGGACTTCAAACAGGGCAAGCTGGATAAAAATCTCAGTGGCTCTTGACTGATGATAAATGAGCTAGACTCATAAAGCATAGATGGGCCAGTAATAACAGAACAGTAGAACAGTTCAAGTTAGGATGGTGCAAAAACAACGATGAAAGAAAAAAAAACTTTGTCAAAGCTGTTCTTTACTTTTGGTTGTAATAATGGAACACAACGTTAATGAGTAGACATCTGAATGAACAAAAACACAACTTAGGGACAATCAATAGGCGACTGGGAGGCTTAAGAAGTCACCTGCTCTGAAACGCAGACGTTAGACTAGAAATAACATGCAACAGTGGTGAGGATGTTTAACAGTGAATAAAACTAAAGCTAAAGCTACCAGGGTGCCCCGATAATTGATTCATTGTTCAAGTGTGATTTCTGACAAAATACCAAAGAATCAACTAGCTGTGAGGATTTTCTCTTTAATTTATTTGTCTTATGTGATGGTAAATTGATGGTTTGGGGGGTTTGGACTGACAATCAAACAAATCAACCTATATAAAGACGTCAACTTGGAAAACACAATTTTTATATAATGTGATAAATTAAATAATTATAATGAATATAATTGTTGTAGCTACTACAGACTGAAAGGTTTATTTAAGTGTAAAGTGCCCTGTTCAGTACATATCTTTAATAACCAAATTTAAGGTATACTTATCCTATATGTCTGTTTACATCAACATCAGACTATTTATTATTGGATTTTTCAAAATCCAGTATCGGTCAGCTCTAGTCACGCACATAAAAACTCATACAGCATAAGCCAACACTCAGAAGGATGAATACAATGCCACTAAGAAAATTGGATGTGGCAAAACTACAGTTTTTGGCAGTACTAGTGAGCTATTATACAGCGAAACAAAAACAACAAAACCCGCCTTGCTAGTAATGAGAGATCTATGCTTATTTTTGGAACACACAAGAGATGGGAAGCAATATAGACGAGTAATAAGGTATTTAAGGTTCTGTAGCTGCGTGTGGTAAAGATTTAATGTGTTATCTTAGACTTAACATCTTCTCACTTTATCCCCTTTCATCTCCAGGGACCTAATTATTACTTATCGTACTGACAGAATGTGCGCGCCCACACACACACACACACACGCACACACACACACACACACACACACACACACACACACACACACACACAATGAAGACAAACATCTCTGAGGCTTTCGGCACCCAGACAGGCGCTCCCAGAGAGACACACACATAGGGATCTATCCGACAGTCGTTCTGCTAGGACAACCAATGAGCCGTATAGCAGGAGGGATCGTGCCATGTTGTCACTCAGCTGATTCTTTTTTTTTTATCATCCAGCCCTTTATACAGAAACAAAACAAAGCAAAAAGTCTGTAAAAGACTCAAGTTACATTTCATGCAGTGTAGTTGCTTTCCTTGCATCATCAACAAGCTCACCAAATGCTACGGCTAACTCTGGCGGTTTATTCTGAGCAACTAAAACTAGGACATCAAACTGTTAATTATACACACAGCTAATCATGCCCAGTTTACTGCTGACTACTGGGAGCCAATAGACAGACTACATGTATTACATGTATATACTGACATAACAAAAGAAGTATATGAAAATGTACATTATTGATCATCATGGTTACAGCAGCACTTTATCTGCAGAGTTTTGTGTTGATGAAAAAAAAAAATCTGTTTAATTGGGAGCATCCAATTTACTATTATTGACAATATGATAAACTATTATTACTATAAATAGATTTGAACTTTAAATACTGAAACAATATTCACATCAGCTGTGATCTTTGCTCTCACAAAATAAAAATAAAAAAAGATTTAAAAATATAATCTACAGTTCCGGGGGCATTTTTTGGAAATCCTCAAAATGAGTTTGGAGAGTTGTTGCAGCTGATAGGAATAATAAAACATTGGTCCAAACACCTACCCCCGAACTCCAGTGTCTTCATTACATCAAAGCTCTTCAGTGACCACACAGTGTACAGTGCAATGTTTTGATGTGTGGACTGCCATCAGGAATATACACTATACAAACATTACAAATGCGTCCATATACAGATACATAGATTCATATATTCTGATGCTTGTCTATTGGGTCAAACAACACATTATCTCTATAAACAGTGCAGGTGATGTTTTTAGTTTTAAATTCATCCTCCATCTACAGTGAAAGGACAGGAAAAGGCTTTGGCATGGTACCAGCTGTTGTGGATATCACTATTTTTCAGGACAAAACTGTTCAAATTCAAATTAAAAAAGGAAGAAGCAATGCTTGAATGCATTTATAAACAGACAATAAATATTCGTCATATGCATATAAATCAAGCTCATTTTCTCTCATCCCCACCCTATCTCTCCTTCTCAGTAACACACAGACACACACACACACAGAAAGAAGCAGCAGCCTCCTAAGCCAGAGGCACTGGCCAGAAAAGGGATTACGACATCGCTTACTTTGGAGGACCACGGCTGCAAGCAGTTGGCATAGCAACGGACCAGGAAAGCCATTTCCACAGGAGGGAGGGTGCCAGCGAGGGGAAGTTTCCCCTCGTTCACCAAAAGATGAAGAAAAAATAAAATAAATAAATAAATAAAAATGTGAAACAGGAGGGCAAGGGCTGATGCTGATCTCTTTGCTGCAAGAATTGTCCAGAAAAATCCTGTGTTGATTTGGCAGGAAAAGGAAGATGACTGGCTGGATGACTGTCAGATGTCGCTGTAGAAGCCGACAAAGTCAAGGAAGATCCAGCTATATGTCTCTCCTCTACTAAAGACTTTAATAGAAATGCAACAGAGAAGCTTAAAACAGTCCTTTTAAACCTTGAGTACTGGAAATCTGCAGAATATTCAAAACTAATCCCAGAGGGGAAGGAGGTTGCATGGTCAAAGAGAAAGCTATCCAACTTGACATCCAAATTTTTCTGTTGAAAGTTAATTTTTTGTAATTTTTGTCTTCTTCTAGATTCACTTTCCGTGTTTAAAAAAGCAGACGTTCCTCTCCTCAATAGATGAGCCAGTACTGGATGAAAAGAGGGTCTTGTCTGTGCATCTGCAGCCCCCTGGGAAGAAGCCTCGTGCCTGGCTTAAAGTCATCCAAACATTCCCCTCTCACCTCCCAAATGCCTGGATCATTTGCCTGCAGCTCCCCTCTCCTCCTCATTCACTGTCTGTCAAACTCTTTTCTCTGTCTCTTTGCAAACTCTTTATCTCTTACAGAGCTCCAGCGGTGCATGTGTGTGCCCAGTGGTGCAGCTCCATGGCAGGGGCCAGTGATCCCCGCTCCCTTATCCAAGCTTCAAGCTCTCTTTCCCTGGTTAGCGCTCACACCTCAAGCCGGCATTCCTCCTCCCCCTCCCGCCCTCGGAGAGAAGCTACCGTAGAATAGGATGCTGTGCTGTGGAGAGCCAGCCGCTAATGGGAAGCGGAGGAAAAGAGTGAGAGCGAAGAGGAGGGAGAAGGGAGGAGAATCCAGCTGAAAAAGAATGACATCACCTGTGCAGCGAGAGAGAGAGAGAGAGAGAGAGGGAGAGAGAAAGAGATAGAGAGAGAGGGGATGGGAGGTGGCGTGGGTGAAGCGAGAGAAAGCATGGGGAAACTGCATTAGATGGATTGGCTGCTGAACAGATGTGGATGAGAGAGGGATAGATGGACAGAGAGAGAGACACTGGGAAAGACAGTGATAGAGAGGAAAGAGAAAGAGCATCTTTATTGATCGACTGGTAACATAAAGCTGAGTGTATTGAGGCAACCCCCCTCCTCTTTGTGAGCACAAATTACCAAAAAAGCATAGAGGGAAAGGAGCGGTGGGGGGCGGGGGGGCATGGATCACGTCGCCCCTATCAGAAACAAAGACAGACGCTGGCGGTATTTTGGCGAATGTGAACACGCCACACAATAGCACAAGCTGATAATTGGTTTTCTCCCTCAAAAAGCCCCCGTCTGGAGGATTTGCGACACAGTTTGACGAATAAGAAAGGCACATCACAATCCCAGATAAATCACTCTAATACTGAGGTAATAAAGGCATTAGGCTCAGAAGTCTGTAGTTGTAAAGTTTTAGAAGCAGATCAGGTTCTGACAGCAACAAAGTCATGACAGAGAGCGGTTTATCCCTCTTGAAGCATCAGATGTGAGTAAAGAAAGAAAGTTAGACTGACAGAGAAGGATATCAAACCGGCTTTTTGAACCTTTCAGGTAACCCGAGTAGGCACCAACCCGGTGATTTAAAAGCCAAAAGACGTCTAACAGTCAAAATATGGTTGAAAAGTGAAAAATGGAAGCATCTCAAAACACTTTAAAGGGCTTAAAATGCAGGTTCTGACTACACGTTGAATAACTGTCATTTAAATGCAGCTGAAACAAGGTCTATATTAACCTTGACAACTAAAAGTTTTTACCAAATCACTAAATCAATACTTAATGGGAAACACAACCCCTTTAATCAGAGCAAATGAAGCAGAAACTCAGCATGAACAAATAGTAAAACCGTGACTTGAAACAATGATTTTTATTTTTATTTTCCCGGCTGTTTCACTTCATTAACTATAGACGACACCGAGAGGGATACAAAAACGTATTTTCTTTTGTACATTACATTTCTTTCTTTTATTGTGTACCCTAAGGGAGTTACACAGTAGTACTTGATGAGTTGAAGTCCCTTTTTTTAAGGCATCTCTTATAATGACTTCTGTATGAAATGTAATTATTTACTGGTTTAATGCAGCAACTACGTGTTCTGCTTCACTTCCTGAAGAGGTAAAATAGTTTAAGTTGCACACATGTGAGTGAGTTAAAACCCTTCAAATAATACAGTAGGTCTCTGTAAAGATTTAATATTTGAAATAATGAAAAAAAGCCTATTTTATTTTTGGCATTACTGTCTTCTTGTCCCTTCTTTCTTCTTCAGTTTCTGTTCTGTTCCTGATGTTAAACAAAAGATGAGAGAGAGGAGGGATGAACTGAAAGCAGAGACAATAGGAGCTGCCTGGTCATTTGAACGGCTGATTCTCCTCCAGCAGAGGAGAGATGTTAGCTCTTATTACCAGACGCTTCAGAGAAGGGAGGATCTTTCTCACTCTCTCCCTTTCTCTTTTTCTGACCTCCCTCCATCTCATTCCGTCAAACCCTCCCCAATCCCTCTTCCTCCCTCTCTCTCTCTGACTTCAAAATCTCCAATTTTTGCAATCTCTGCCAGCATCATCTTAGCCTCAAAGTAGCCGTTTCCTTTTTTTTCCCCCTGCTTCAATATTTGTTCTGGTGTCGATCGTTGTCTCTTTTCAGCCCCCACCTCCCTTTGAAGATGTCCTCTCATCTCATTTTTTATCAGCTGTTCATGCCTCTCCCTCTTTCCATGCTCCCATTTTCACTCTTCTCTTCTGCTTGCTGCTATGAACCAGGATTTCTACCCTACCCTCAATTCTCTCTCCTCTGTGAGTGTGTGTGTGTGTGTATGTGAAACGATACACACCTCCCGACTAAGAATGACATCATCTCTTTATGCCGCAGCCAATCAGATGCAAGCACATGGAGCCCTGCCTTCAGAGGAGTGTTATGTACACAGGAGACAGAGAGCGAAAGAGATGGAAATAGATAGACATATAGACAGATAGACACATAGACATATAGAACAGATAGAATAGATAGATAGAATAAATAGATAGATAGAATAGATAGAATAGATGGAATAGATAGATAGATAGAAAAAGGGAGTGATATTGTATGTATGTAAGAGTGTCTCATAAAATTGTGTTTAGACTGTGTGTGTAAGTGTGTGTGTGTCTCAGTGTGTACTAAATGCAGTCTTTTCTCTTTTCGCATACTAGTGTGTGCAGCACTAAATCATTCCCTTGCCCTCCTGTCAAATCCCCAGCCCTAATAAACACGCACACACAGACAAGCACGCACACACACACACACATGCATGCATACATGCACACACACACACACACACACACACACACACACACACGCGCGCTCACACACACACACACACACACACACACACACACACACACACACACACACACACACACACACACACACACACACACACACACACACACACACACACACACACACACACACACACACACACACTTTATAGCTTCTTTAGTCAAAGCCAGGTCTGCAAGAAAAAGCTGCGTAGAAGTCCAGCTGTGGACAATGGACTGATTCTACTAAGACTAATACAACTTTTGAATTACATATTTGCACACTGATTAATTAATAACCATTAATTGAGATACAAACCAAAACTTTCTTCACACAGTATGAGTGAATGTTTGCTTTTCTTCATCAATGATTGATGAAACGCATTAATCGTTCAGCCCAACCTATTTTAAAGACTTTTTAGCATGTAACACTAGAATCTCTGTTGCACACTGCTTTGTTTTAATTTAAGTTTGGCTAAGACAGTGTGACTTTACAGAACTAAGCAATAACCAAAGGTGCTGCCAAAATCAACAACATCAAAGTACATCATGACACCATAACTGCTTAAAGATGTGGCTACCTGGTGGGCCCATGAATAAAAATAACTCAGATAGTATAAATTACCTCAGAAAAAGAGCCAGAAGGATACATAAACAGATGAAATTCAAATGGAAAAAAGATAAAAAGAGACAAAAGAAAGGAAAGGATTGAGTCAATGTGACACTAATAAATACCAGATAAAGAAAATATCTCCACACAGTTTATCTAAATTAATTTCCATTTGAGGGGAGGATTTAGAGGAATTAAAGTCAAAACTGTCAGAATAAATACTTTGTGAACAGAGCTCTGCATTGTAATTTGCAGCAGCACATCATGACGTGGTTTCAAAACATGCAAGTTCAGAGGAATCAAACTGAAAAAACAGAAAAAGTCAAAACACGCGCTCATCTGCATAATGCGTCTCAGTGGGCCGTTTACGGTATAACTCGGCACACAATGATGTGGGATCTGTTTGCAAAACACGGAGCAGGGTACACGTCACACAGGAAACACTTCCTGGAACAGTCGGCCTGCGACTGTGGGCGTTTGTGGGCATTTGTAAGCATTTGCCAGATTAAGTCAGGTGATTATGGACATGTCAGAGAGAAAAGAGGGGGAGAGGCACAGACAATGACATAAGAAAAGGTCATAAAAAAATGAAAGAGCAAGAATCAAACAATCGAGGTTCGAGGAGGCCGAATGAGAGAGACAGATAAGAGAGAAACATGTGCGTAGGACTTAAATGATTTCAAAAAACATGACAAACTCAGCAAGGCGCCTAAAGACAGGAAATGTGACCTGTCCAAAGGCACGCTGTCCGACAGACAGTTTGCACTGACTAGACATGAACATAGCATCCTGTGTGGGTGGGTGTGTGTTCTGCGTGTGTTGCTCACTGAGGCCTCACATGGCTCAGTGATGTCTGAGGGGGTCCTGTCTCTCTTTTGTCACTTTGCCTGGTGCTGCTGGGACAATTTCCCCCCTGGGACACTGCACACATTAATTTCTACACCCTCACATGCTTGCACAAAGTGGCCGGCCACATTCGGTGTCTGTGTGTGTGTGTGTGTGTGTGTGTGTGTGTGTGTGTGTGTGTGTGTGTGTGTGTGTGTGTGTGTGTGTGTGTGTGTGTGGCTACTGCTCACAGCTAATCAGTTCTGCCAGGCTAATTAAAAAGAGTCAGCTGACTAAAGCCCTTGTAGCTCTGTAACACACAGATGTGCGTACACACACAAACACATAGAGAAGTGCTGAGATGTTAAAGCCCTATATTTTTCTGTTGGGTGGCCGTATAGTAATTTCCATGGATAGTCCAGAACCACAGAGACACTGTGCCTCTCCTCTACAACTAATGAGGGGAGATATAAACCAGTGTTGCATCACATCATTATCCTTTTCAAACATAAATACTTTCAGCAATTTCTACACTAAACAAAGAGGTTTATATGGATTTCCATTCACTCTGCTTGACTCTAGTTGAGTTAAAAAGATTATTATCAAAAGTCTTACCAAAAATATTTTAAAAATCACATGCCTCCTTGCATTCTGTAAGTATGGTAATGTCACAGCAGGGAGTAGATGGTTAAGCCCCTGTTAGTGAACATGAAGGTACCTTTGTTGAAAGCCAGATATAATTTCCTGTGTACAGCAGATGAGCACACAAAGAGCAGTAAGTCCTGCTGACACAAAAACACACGTACTTATGCAAACCACACTAAGAGACAACTATGTGAATGTGCTGACTGCAGCCATCTGATCGTATGCGTGTGATGTGATCTGATTTGTGTGTGTGTGTTTGTCTGTCTGAAGGACAAGACAGGAATTCCTGCCATTTAAATCAGCCCTTCCCTTTCCGACTGGTCTCCACAGAGAGAGAGAGAGAGAGAGAGAGAGAGAGAGAGAGAGAGAGAGAGAGAGAGAGAGAGAGAGAGAGAGAGAGAGAGAGAAAGAGATTCAAGCCCAGAGGAGCTGGA